GATGGATGAGGTCAGAATCCAAGAAGACACACTGAAACAAGGCATGTGAAATATATGGGTATACCCAGCCCATTTTATGAAGATCGAATAGCTGTAGAAGTTTTCGAAGGGCACTACACTGCTACACTTTTATCGCCTTACTTCTTCTCTTGCGTTTGCATAAAAAAACAGTGGCATGTTGCCATGGTTAGCAACGGTTTTTGGTCTGTTGTAGCAGATTGTATTCAGCCCTACACCTGAACTCTTTCGTTAATCATCTTTGCTAGACTACATAATCATACCCTATGGTTCTGTGATCCCACATCTAGATATGAACTGCACAGCTCTACGATCACACGTTTCTAGATAATGAACTCTACGGCTCTACGTCATACATTTCTACATTGTAGATAATGAGCTCTACGTTTCTTCGACTCTACGCCTCTACGATCACAGCTCTACGGCTCTACGTCTCTACGATCACACATTTCTAAACCAGTGAGACAATCTCAGATAGAGCAGAGTGCAATTGAAGCTAATTGTTAGCTCTAGTACGGTAGTCACACAGGTATTCATCCCGGATCAGTTCAGTTCTGGTTTGTATTTACCTTGGTAGTCTGCTAGGGCCTTTCAACTTACAGAATATGAACGGATACAAACTTCGATAAGACATAATCTTAGCAGTGTGTATGTTTCATGATTGTATTTTCATTAAAGGTCCAAAAATTTCTTACAATTACTGTTTGTTTCGACAGCCTTTAAATTTTACTCTGGTGTTTTACGCTAATTTTCGTTCATTTAAAATTTATTAGACCGTTTTCACTGTCACGCAACAAAAAAATAAAACGAAAACCATCCAGTGGAAAAAGCTATGAAATTATGATGTTATAGAAGATAACTAAATAAGACACTTCTCCAAGTTTTAGGCATGTGCGTTTCTCCAAACTTCAGATATTCGTCGAAATGTTTCGCAGATATTTACAGAGCCCAGTATGAAAACGCCATGTTGGTGTACTTCCGTGGTACACCAATATGGCGGCCGGAAAATAGTGCAAACATCTGGAACTTACTTTGGCTTTCGAGGTGACTGATTATCAGTACTGATCAAACAAGCATTTACATAAGCACTTTTCATAATGCTCTAACTTCTAAAAAGGCTCAAAATCATGAGATAAGTATA